CACCGCCATCATCCATTGCCCCGCGGCCGCCTCTGCCCGGAGGGATGTGGGTTTGTGGGGGGCTGTGGGGGAATGGGGGTCCGCTCCTCAGTTGTCGTTTTTAATTTTGTACTTTAATTTAATTTTGTTTTGTAAGAAGCTTCTTTGGGGAGGGTCGGGGGGGGGGGGGGGGGGGGTGGGCATGAGAAAAGCCGTCATCCTTTTTTCGGTCGGGTTTAGGGGGACAACAACGCAAAAAAAAAAAAAAAAAAAAGGAAAAAGAAAAAAAAAAGAAAAAAAAAAAAAAAAAAGGAAACCACACAGACACAATCACAAAATAAATGAGGAAGAGGAGCGATCCGTGCGCCATCGTGTTCTACCAACGGTCCATTGTAACGTCCAACGCCATTTGTCACTGTACGGTGAACAAAACGCGATGAATAAAATACATCCATGTATTGCTGCCGTCTGATCCTTCCTCCCCCCCCCTTCACAACACCCCACTGCTCCGGGGGGGCCCTGCTGACCCACTTACGCTGCGACGGCAGAGCCCTGGGCCTGGGACACCCCTTTCAACCACTGTGTCACCTGCCTGCTGTGTGTGGCAGGAGCCCCGTGCCTGATCACAAGTGTCACCTACCCTGCTCTGTGTGTCACCTCCCCTGGCACAGGGGTGTCCCCAGACCGCAGGGGACAGCACGGCAGGGTCACATCTCCTCCTCCCCCCCTCCCCAGGCCTGGCACTGTGTCACAGCAGCACTGGGGGGGTTGGAATTAAACCCGCCGCAGTCTCATTTCCAGCACTCTGGCTGCAATCCGAGAGGGGGGGCACAAAGCATTGGGCAGCACACGGCCCAGCTGCCCCCCCTTCCCATACAATGGGATGGGGAGTTGGATTCCCACACCCAAAAAGAAAGGCACGGAGGTGACGCCGCGGGGTCACAGTTCGATGGCGCGGAGGAAATCCTCATCCTCATCCTCTGCCAGGGTGATTGGGGGCGGTGGGGCCGGGGGGGGTCGTCCCAGCTGCCTGCCCAGGGCCAGGTCGGAGGGGGCCAGGGGCTGCCCCTTGCACATGATGTAGACGAAGTAGTGGAAGGTGTCCCCGCAGGCGGCGTGCCGCAGGGACCAGCCAAAGGCCTCCTGTGCGTAGTGCGGGGCGCGGAAATGGGGCTGCGCGAAGGTGATGGAGAGGAAGCGGCCCCCCGGGCGCAGCACACGGCTCACCTGTGTGTGGGGGGGAGAAAATGGTGTCAGTTT